GGGGTCAAGTACATGAGTGGTGACACACCTTGCACCTCCTAAAATTCAGATTTTAACATCACTACATGTAATTCTTGCTAAAAAAGAAGTCTTAATAAAATTATGTGCACTGCACTGCTCTGCTTTTCTCCAAAGAAGAAAGCTATGAATGTCAAAACCTGTGGATTTTTACAATTATACTTTAAAGCTTACCAAATTTTGAAAAAAGATGGCCTTGAAACAATATTTTTTTTAGATATTGGGCCACTGTAGCAACATGCACATTACAATGTCATGCTTCTCAAAAATAACACTGATGATAAATTTTTTAACTTTTCCTTCCTTTCTTAAAATTTCAATTGATCAATGTAACTACTTTGATTGTCAGGTTTTCTTCTAATTGGTCAAACACCCCCGGAGATTGCCGACCTGTCTGTTTAGTGTGGTAGAAATGCTCATGATACACTCAAATGAAGGGGCCTGATACCAAGCTGTTAAGAATCAATTATGAACCTAGTATTTAAAACTATTGTGGCAGAACTTCATCACAATATAGCAAAGACCAGTTTTATCACTCCCAACCTCAAGAAGGCAGAAATGGAAGTGTACAACTAAGCAACCAGAAAAACATCAAAAAGGACTCTACCAGGTGTTTGTATAGCTTGGGACGTCTCTGTTGCATTAGTCTTTCAAAAACTGATGCATGCCTTTGTATCCTGTAGAAGTAATGAATGTCAGACTGTTATATCTTGTGACAATAAATTGATGTGTAGTTCGTATCTGCAGGGAAGCTAGTTATACCACACAATCTGCTTTTCTTACATTATTTTGTTATACGATCTTTTAGAATTATTTCTCAGATTAAAAGTGCAATGCTAAATGGTGTTAAATAGAATCAGCCACTGGGAACTCAAGTAAAACAAAAGAAAAGTAACCGGTGGGGAAACTTGTTTTCAAAAAAGGAAAAGAAGTTTTAATTATTATATCAGATAAATTGGTTGAATCACAGAGTGGAATAAAGCATAGTTCATTGAAAAAGGAACGGGACAATATGGTCAATTACAAAGCTTTCTCATTGTGTTACTGTCAGGGAACTCACTTGCCAAGTGAATCATTGAAATAGCCAGCTAAGTACTTTGGTCTCTCAAACATGGACACCAAACACCAAAAGGAATCCTACAGGAAGAGGATGNTATAAAAGAAATAGATTCTATGTTGTCAAGATAGATTATAGAAGACATCAAAATGTGATAAGTATATCAGTGACACACTCAGCTGTATCTTGTGTGCCACTTTTTCGTTCTTACCACATTTTCACATTATCTGTGATCTAGCTAGTATTGAACAGGCGCATGGCAACCTAGAATCTATTTGAAGTTGATATCACTATTTTCCACATGTTGATCAACATCTAAACTGAGACAGCAGCCATGTGTCGCTTCCAAAAAAATTTAATATTGCTTTCCTTCATGAATGTCTTGACACATTTTTTTTGCTCACCCGTTTAGGAGAAAAGAGTTGATTTTCCTCCCAGTTTTCCAGCATCTTTTCCCAAAATTGTATAACTCTGGACCTTTTGGCATCTGAAAGTTCTCTAGTTGAAAAAATGGAAGAAACATTTGGTCGAAAGTTAAAGGAACTTTCTCTAATAGCACTAAAGAATGGTCTCAATTCTTCAACTGGAGATCACAATGAAAACCAGCTTTGTATTAGAGAAATTTAACTATACCTTTTAATACGTGAATGCGAAGCAACAATGTTTCCGACAAAGTAATAACGCATTGTTTGATTTTATATCGGGCGTTTGTTTAAACAAAGCAGTCCCGTCCGGCTAGTCTACAGAAACTGGCTAGTCTACAGAAAATTTTTTTGAGCGAGCTGACCTCGAGGGCAGATCTATCTTAAACGCGCAACAATACCGTGAGAAATGACCACCATCTCACCTATATTCGTGGATTCTACAGTCATCAGCTGCAAATTCTGAACCTGGATCATACACTGCAAAGCCGTAGCGATCGTAAGAAGTTGCAAGCAAAACACGCGTTTCATTGGCACCACCTGCCATGTTTGTCTCCCTCTCTTGGCCTAAGAATAATTATTTTGCTTTTATCGAAGTTTTCAAGTCTTCAATCGTTATGTTCCCACAACTGGGAAATAGAGAACTTCCTTTTCTGTGAGACACGAAAGCTAAACTCGTTCGATGATGAGTGGCGTTGATTTTAGCTTATTATTTTCGTCTGAGTTCAACACTAACACTTTCGAAAACAACCGCCTTTTGTTCGGTGGGGGATTGAGTCGAGGAATTTAGACACCAGTGCTAGCCCGGCCTACTACCAAAGAGCGTGAGATGCGCGCAAAAGGTGTCATGGGTAAGTTTTCTGGTTTAGTAAGAGAACATAATCATTAGTTACTCAAGTTCACTAGAGACTAAAACCACACAGTTGACCAGTTTTAACCAAATTTGATAAAGATAAAAATAATCTTTTTAATTTTCTCAATTTCCCCACGTGATGGAAAGGAGTGAGAAAGTTTACATTACTTTGTTACGTCATGAAAAATGTTTATGACGTAATAGTAATACTATAAACTAACAGTAAACCTCGTTCACTTAGCCTTATTTCTTACAATGATTTCCCCTTTTCACACAACGAATCTGGCCACTTTCCAAAACCCACGACATATGCCAGGGTAAGAAACCAAAACAGAAATTTGTTGTCAAGATGAACTAAATAAGAACAGAAAAATTTCATCGATAACAAAATCCGTCCTCGTTTTCATTTAGCTATGCAGGCCATTGTCCCCAAGCCAAGTTGTGGCATTACGGCGACACATTCGGTAACACCACAGCAAAGTATTTCCAGGACAGAAGGATAGCAAAGCTGAACAATAGTAAGGCGACACAGCCAGGAACATACGGTGATGGTAGACCTGAATTTCCCTCTGTTTACTCCAACACGCCTAACCTGGTCCTCGCTGCTCGAACGAAAACAAGAGAACGGTGGCGCAATGCTAAGAAATACTCTCTGTTTAACGAGCACGAAAGGGGACAAGAAGTAAAGAAATTTGACCAGGTAATTACTTCGGATAACTTGAGCGCGTCTAAAGTGAGCTTTGCGCTAAAGCAGCACGTACAAAAGAGGAGGTACGCTACGCGGTGCGTCAATGCTTTGCGCGTACCAAACTGAGTGCATGCTACACAGACCAAACCGTTGCAAAGTGCCATGCATTATTAATATTTTATGTCATAAGGCACATATCATGCCGGGTTCACTGGCTAACACGGTTACAGCGTAGAGTTCTGCCGGCGCTGTAAGTATCTAAAACTCCTTGAGAAGCCAAGCTCAGCCTATGGGCGGTTCACAAGAAAGTCAAATGAGTCGATTTAAGACCCCACCTTTTGAATTCTGACTCAAAACTTAGAAAGTTGCTCTTAAATCTGCAAAATCAGAACAGAAAGACTATTCGTAAAATTTGGTGGCAAAAATGCACGAGCCGTGATTTAGCACTGGAAAAATTAATTCGGCGTCTTTACAATATGGAGGACATCCTGATGCTTTCAGTAAAGTGATTCTACTCTAAGGCCAGTTTTCTGAAGTCACTTGTAAAAATCTCCAACTGAGCTTAAGAACTATAATCGTGTTTGATTGTTTGTTGCATTTTTGATCAAGCTTGCTCAGAGTCATCGGGAAAATTACAAGGATAGAAGTGGTACAGTTCTAAGAGTGGAGCAGTTTGTTATCCCCCGGAAAGTGCAGCCAGCAATAACCAGGTAAGATAAAATCGTAACGTAGCAGTCATTATTTAGAGCCGAGATGGAAGAGGGGGGGTGGGGGTGGGGAAGAAGGTTGGAGGATTTTGTGGGGATCACACGGTTTTCAGGGAAACCGGAGGAGGATCAGTCGTCTCTTACAGAGTTCAAAATGGAGGTCTATGGGAAATCGATTGCTAGTGATCTGAGAGATCATTAGAAT